GCCAGTGGAAGACTTAAGAGAGTTTCAGATTCCCTGGAGTGTGTGTTACATGTGGATGTAAGCCACCTTTGGTGAATGCTGAAAACCAAAGGGTCCTCTTCAAGAGCAGTAAATGCTCTTATCCACCAAGCCATCTCTCCAAACTACCAAACTCAGATGTTTCATTTTAACCTGAAAACTTTACCTAAATATGTTTTATTTCTAAAGACAAAATATATGGCTTTTAAGAGAGGAATTAATATTTTCTGCTTGTTATCCAACCTTCTGTGGTAGCTAAAAATCCCATGAGACAAGAGTGTGCTTATATTTTCTTAACAGGAAGTTGTAGAGATTTACAGAAAAACATACTAGAAACACTGAAATGTGAGAATAAAATGTTGAATGGTTTATTTTGGATTGGAATGTGCCCTAATAATTACAACACCACAGAGTAGAACCAAGAATAAGAACAATAAATGACACCGGGCGATGCATTAGTTCTCCATGGTAACTCTCAAAGAAACATTCATTCATAAAACATGGCTTGAATCTCTCTGTTATTTGGATCTTGAAAATTTAGAAAGAATTATCAATAGACCAAAGAGAAAAGAGAGGGGGAAATGATGAAGGAAAGGAGACTAGTTCAAAAGTGCCATATAACACAATCTTTTTAGGAAAGAAACTGGGAATGCACACAACTTGAAAGAACACAAAGATAATAGTCTCCAGATTACTAATATGATTATGGTAACAAAAGACATATAATTTACATTCCAAAACAGGTTTAACTAGTTGTTGGCACTCCCTACTCTTGAGGAACTCTAGTAGTCTTCAATGCAGAGGCCAAAGAGGAGAATGAAGGATACAGCAATGCCCAATGCTTCTAATTTTTAGTAGCTTTCTAACTAAGGGGAGGGATTTTTGCTGGTACTATACATTCCGTCATTAAAGAAGGTGACTGAGCCTCATCTGGGATTGTCTAAGCATAAGAAGATATTTTAACTAATAAATATTTGGCTCATGTACATACTTACTGTTTGCATAGTAGATGTACTTAACCACTCTTTGGGGTGTGTGTGTGTGTGTGTGTGTGTGTGTGTGTGTGTGTGTATTGCTGAGGATCAAAGTGACTTACTCCACACTCTGGCCTTTTACAGTTTTGAAGAGTGATACTATAGCTTCCTAGCCTTCATAGTTGCCTAAATTTTTCTGACAAGAAACTAAACCTTACCCATACCTCATTTTCATCTCGAAGAAGAAGTGATGAGTGCAATACAGCAGCCAGGAACAACAGCAGGAATAATGTCATGTCTAGAAAACAAAGAATAGAAAAAAGATCTACACTTAAATGTTTAGTATGTGGAGTTCTGAATAACGCAGAACGTATGGGGGAAGTAATGAGACCTATTTCCTAGATTTACTAGCAGTGTAGCAAGGAGGGCACACCATTTATATCATCAAAATGATAATAAAATCAACTCAAGAAGCCTGCTGTCAACTG